TGCTGCTGCTGCTGCTGCTGCTGCTGCTGCTGCTGCTGCTGCTGCTGCTGTGTGTCTCTTGCAGGTGCCCGTCTCACCCGACGATATTTGCAGCAGGAGACATCGCCAGCTTTCCTTATGTGAAGACAGGTGCGTCAGCATCGAGGCTCTTCTGTCTCCTCTTCTGTCTCCTTTTTTGTCTCCTTTTTTGTTTTTTTTCTCCTCCTCTGTCTCCTCCTCTGTCTCCTCCTCTGTCTCCTCTTCTGTCTCCTCTGTCTCTCCTTTTGTCTCCTGTCTGCTGTCTGCTGTCTCCTTTTCTCTCTCCCTTTTCTCCTTTTCTGTCTCCTCTTCTGTCTCCTCCATCTCCCCCTCTGTCTCCTCTTCTGTCTCCTCTTCTGTCTCTTTTGTCTCCTGTCTCCTTTTCTGTCTCTTTTTCTGTCTCCTTTCTCCTGTTACGCCTTTGACCGTACCCCACAAGGGACCCTATAGACCCCTTCATCACGCCTCTTCTGCTGCTGCTTCTGCTGCTGCTTCTGCTTCTGCTTCTGCTGCTGCTGCTGCTGCTGCTGCTGTTGCTGCTGCTGCTGCTGCTGCTGCAGGGGGAGAGACACGAGTGGAGCACTACGCAACAGCAATGGATCAGGGCCGTGTTGCAGCAGCAAATATGTTAGAGTTAAATAAACCTTTTACTGATCTCCCCTTCTTCTGGACGATGGTATTCAATAAGGGACTTAGGTAAAAATACAAAAAAAAAAAAGAAACAAAAGGAGACAAACAGGAGACAGAAAGGAGACAGAAAGGAGACAGAAAGGAGACGGAAAGGAGACAGAGAGGGGGCAGAAAAGAGATAGATAGATATGAGAGAGAAAGGAGACAGAAAGGAGACAGAAAGGAGACAGAAAGGAGACAGAAAGGAGAGAGAGAGAGTAGAGAGAAAGGAGACAGAAAGGAGACAGAAAGGAGACAAAAAAGGAGACAGAAGGCCTTTCTCTCTGTCTCCTTTTATTGTTTTATATTTTCTCTGCTTGTATTTATTTGTCTTCTCGTTTCTGTTTGTCTCCTTTTTTATTTGTCTCCTTTTGTTTTATTTGTCTCCTTTTATACTTTTTGTCTTTCTATCTGTCTCCTTTTGTTTTATTTGTCTGTCTCTTTTTTTTTTATTCTTTCTCTTTTTTTTATTTTATCTGTCTCCTTTTTATTATACACCTGTCTCCTTTTTGTTATATATCTGTCTCCTTTTCTATCATGCATTTGTCTCCTTTTTTTTTTATTTTTTTTTGTTTCCTTTTTCTTTTATTTGTTTATCTTCTTTTTATTTTCTTACATTTATTTTTCTTGTGTTTATATATTTATATTTATTTCTTTTCCTTTTATATATATACATACATACATACATACATACATACATACATACATACATACATATATATATATATATATANATATATATATATATATATATATATATATATATATATATATATATATATATATATATATATTTATTTATTTTATTTATTTATATTTATTTTTTTTTTTATAGATACATTGGCAACGGGGCTGGCTACGAAGAAGTTGTTATAGAAGGGGATCTATCAAACTACCAGTTTGTTGCTTACTATATAAAAGGAGACAAAGTAAGAATATATATATATATATATATATATATATGTATATATATTTATTTATTTATTTATTTATTTATATTCTATAATAAATATATATATAAAGAGAGCAGTAGATAGAGAGAGAGAAGGAGAGAAAGAAATAGATAGATAGAGAAGGAGACATATCAGCATCTACAGCACCTTAGGCCCATCAAAAGCTGCTGCTGCTGCTGCTGCTGCTGCTGCTGCTGCTGCTGCTGCTGCATGCAGGTGATAGCAGCAGCAACCATGGGCCGGGACCCTGCATGCGTTGCTATAGGGGAGGCCCTGAAGGCCAACCTGATGCCGACAGCAACACAACTAAAACTAGGATTACAAAACTCACAAAATATTATAGATACTGTCAAGGTATACAAACTCTTGCTGCTGCTGCTGCTGCTGCTGCTGCTGCTGCTGTTGCTGCTGGTGATTGTGCTGCTTGTGGTGGTGGTTGTGGTTGTTGTTGTGTTTTTGCTGCTGCTTGTGCTGCTGCTGCTGCTTGAGTTGCTGGTTTTTGTTGCTGCTGGTTTTGCTGCTGCTGTTTTTCTGCTTGTGCTGCTGCTGCTGCTGTTCTTGGTGCTGCTGCTGCTGTTGCTGCTGCTGCTGTTGCTATTGCTGCTGCTGCTGCTTACTAGCAGATAGATGGGGGATGCTAGTCACTTGTGCTGCTGCTGCTGCTGCTGCTGCTGCTGCTGCTGCTGCTCCTGCTGTTGCTGCTGCAGAAGAACTCTATAAAGAAAATATCCTAAGGAAAGAGGCGAAGGAGATAACCAGTAGCAGCGGCCACCACGAAAGCCGCAACAGCAGCAGCAGCAGCACTACTGGCAGCAGCAGCAGCAGCAGCAGGAGCAGCAGCAGCAGCAGCAACATGGCGTGAGGTGTTTCGGTTTTCACTGTCTCCTGAGGCACGTTGCAGTACACCCCAGATGCCTCCCTCTCAGCTAGCCAGCAGCTAGCTGGTGGCTAGCTAGCAGCTAGCTGCTGGCTAGCTAGCAGCTAGCTGCTGGCTAGCTGGTAGCTAGCTGCTAGCTAGCCAGGGAGCCCGCGCTAGCTGCGCGTTGAGGAGACAGTTGTCTCCTTTTGTGGTGATGTCTTTTCTTTTTACTTTGTTGCGAGCAACACAAACAAATTAATTTATTTACATCTTTATACGTTTTCTCAGTTCGCTGCTGCTGCTGCTGCTGCTGCTGCTGCTGCTACTGCTGCTACTGCTGCTGCTGCTGCTGAGCTGGGGTATATTAAGGTGTCGTGGCTAGGAGTTGTATTTATTTTTTTTTTCTGTTTTTTTTTTCATAGCGTCAAAACAAAAACAAAAAAATCCTCGTGCTGCAGCAGCAGCCATATTGCTGCAGAGGCCGCTGCTGCTGTTGCTGCAGCAGCAGCAACATTGCTGCTGCTGCTGCAACTTTAGAGCTGCAGCACAGCTTCCGAGCTGCAGCAGCAGCTACAGCAGCAGCTGCAGCAGAAGCTTCAGCAGCAGCTGCAGCAGCGACTACAGCAGCAGCTGCAGCAGAAGCTACAGCAACAGCTGCAGCGGAAGCTACAGCAGCAGCTGCAGCAGCAGCAGCAGCAGCAGCAGCAGCTGCAGCAGCAGCTGCAGCAGCAGCTGCAGCAACTTGTTTTACCTTGTCATTTGCATGAGAGAGACAGGAGAGAATAGCTGCTGCTGCTCTCTCACCTCTCTGGCTAGGGCTTCGTCTCCCAGCAGCTCATCCAGCTCATCTCTGCATGCAGCAAACACAACTGCTGCTGCTGCTGCTGCTGCTGCTGCTGTTGCTGCTGCTGCTGTTGCTGCTGCTGCTGCTGCTGTTGCTGTTGCTGTTGCTGCTACTAAGGGTTTAGGGTTTAGGGGGATGGGTTAGGGGGGGCAAGGGGAAGGAAGGAGACAGGAAAGAGATGAAAGATAGAGGAGACAGAAAGGAGACAGAAGAGAGACAGAACAGAGAGAGAAGGAGACAGAAAGGGGACAAAAGGAGACAAAAAAGGAGAGAAAAAAGGAGACAAAAGGAGACAGAAAATGAGACAGAGAAGGAGACAGAAAAGGAGACAGAAGGAGACAAAAGGAGACAGAAAAGGAGACAGAAAAGGAGACAAAAGGAGACAAAAGGAGACAGAAAAGGAGACAGTATGCTGCACCTGAAATCCCTGAGGAGACAGCAGAGGGCCCGCATGGAGGCGTCCTGCAGCGGAGAGCGCTGCGCCCGCAGCAAGGTGTCTAGACACCGCAGCACCGGCAGCACCTGCACCCCACAAACCCTAAACCCTAAACCCTAAACCCTAAACCCTAGAGGATGGATCGGGGGGGGGGGGGGAAACCC